GGTTTTGTTAATTGCTGCTATTTTTGAAATATTGGAGTTTGAGGATAGTTGATTAGCCTCAAATTAATTCCAACTTCTCGGCTTCTTTCTAACTCATAAAAATTTTCAAAATTTTAGCAAATAAATTTTCAAAATTGGTACCAATTTTATATTTGCCACTCCTTGGCAAAAACCCTTTTGATAAAAGCGTGGGTTACTATTCTTCCGACCGTATATTCAAGAACCCTTCGGATGAAGCCGTACGTTACTCTACGTTCGATCGTATTTGCAAAAGCCCTTTTGATGAAATCGCAGGTCACTATTCTCTGGATTGCATTTATAAAAACCCTTTTGATAAAGCCGTGGGTTACTATTCCCTCGATCGTATTTGTATGAAACCCTTCTGATGCAGCCGTGAGTTGTTGTGTCTTCGATCGTATTTGCAAAAGCCCTCTGATGAAGTCTTGAATTACTGCAATTTCGATCGCATTTGCAAAAACCCTTTTGATGAAGCCATGTATTACGATTCCCATAATAGTATTGGCAAAAAGCTTTTCGATGCAGCCGTGAAATACTATACCTTTGATTGTCTTTGCAAAACCATTTTGATGAAACTGTAGATTACCATACCATCAATAGTCTTTGAAAAAACCTTGTTGATGGAGCCGTGCTGCATTATTCCCTGGATCATATTTGGGAAAACGAATTCTTAAAAACCGTGGATCATTCTACCTCATATCGTATTTGAATGAACGTCGGTCTAAAGATATGAAGAACAAATACCCTTTATAATTTCAAGAATGGTCCACTTCAAAAACCCACGATCACATCAACGGCTTTTTCGTATATGCGACGTCTATAAATCCTTCGAAGGTTTGTACAATGTTGAAGAAAAGACAAGACTTTTGTACTATACTATTATTTTTTACAGTGCACACCCACACCTACACCCACACTCACACCCGCACCGACACCGACCGCCGCACCCACACCCACACCCACACCCACACCACACCACACCACACCACACCACACCACACCCACACCCACACCCACACCCACACCACACCACACCCACACCACACCCACACCCACACCCACACCCTAGATGGTTAAAAAATATGTTTCTAGTCGATTGAAAGACAAGGATCTTGGGTTCAAACATTTTAAAAGCACAAAGGTGATAGATAATACTGTACGAACATCAATTGAACATGTATCAACAACAATAGAAAAAAAACTAAGATTATCTCGTGCTCAGCTTCTTACTAAATCAACTGCAACAACACAAACCACTATTGAAGATGAAGATGAACCAGTATCATATGATATTCCATACACAAATGTTAATATTATCGTTAGCATCAACATGATACTGGATTTGGTTAATAAACTTCGTTGTCCTTCATGTGGTCGTGTTGGGAAAATGTCTGAGAAAGTTACTCAACGTCGTGGTCTCTTATACCATATCACATTTTCATGTAAGTGTTCATATGAAACACATTTTAAAAATTCAACAGAATTGGTTCATTCATCTACTTCACGTATAGATGAACTCAATAT